AGCTAACAGAGCATCTCATAACATGAGAAACAAATAATGATCTTCCTATTCCTTACCACTCTTTTTTTTTGGTTGTCATCAGAACTTTGTTCATTTTATCCCTTATTATGATAAAAATATTCCTGCCCCCCTCCCACCCTCAATCAAAAAGAAAAAGGGCTATAACATTAATGGCCATATCTTAATAACTTCTTCTGCTTCTTTGTAACAATATTGTTTTATATTCTCATATTCATCTATGCTTTTCGAATAGTTCCATCATTAACATTTTTATCTGGTTTTATACACAAACTTTCTCAGAAGATGAATTTGATCGTTAAATTAGATGCTAGGTTTCTAGGTCTGGGTGCAGTGCAGAGCCCAGAGAACTGCATGCTTTAAACAAAACATTTACATTGAAATAAAGATACATACACGTATGCTTATGTCTTCAAACACAATTACTTAATAATTGTTTCTGTTTGTAGCTGTTGACTTCACTACTGGTGATGATCCTTGGCCCATATTTAAGTTACAAAAGGAGTTCAATTCCCCTGGAAAATCACCAGCGCTTTCTTCGTAAGTGTCTATTATTTATTTATGCTAATTTATGATATTTCGGTGTTCATAATGCTTTTTTGTTTCAGGGAGTTTTATACAGGTTGGCTTACACATTGGGGTGAGAAGATGGCAAGGACAGATGCAGATTTTACTGCAGCTGCCTTGGAAAAAATTTTGTCACAAAATGGTTCTGTTGTTCTTTATGTATGTTCTTCTATCCTACTTCTAGTGCTCTGAAGTTACGATCTCTACGGTCATGCTATGATTTAGGCTTTTGAATTCCAGATGGCACATGGTGGAACAAACTTTGGATTTTATAATGGAGCAAATACTGGTGCGAATGAGTCAGATTACAAGCCTGATCTAACTTCCTATGATTATGTGAGGATGATTTTTCCTTGTTGTAGTTAGTATATTAACTTATAACTTTCAAGCTTCAAATTGGCTTTACTTTACCTCAGGATGCACCAATTACAGAGTCTGGTGATGTGGACAATGCAAAATTCAAAGGTATGATCCTATGCTTGCTCACTGAATATTTCAAGACTAGAGGGATGATATGTTGAAATTTTTGCATGGTTTTGTTGAAATGTAAAACTACCTTGTCCATGGTCTCAATTTGTGTGCTGCATTTTGTTTATGTTAATAAATGTAAAATACAGTTTTATGTGCTGATAGACAACTTTGGTGACGAAGAATGATACTTATAGCCTTGAATGAGTCAGTGGATACATTTATCCAAAAAAAAAAAAAAAGAAAGAAAATATCAGTGAATACAGAGTGATATGGTAGACAAGAGATAGAGGGATTTAAGCAGATGGATTATACCAATGGCAGAAGCAGCTTACCTGTTCGACTTCCCTTTATTAGATGGGCATGGTCCTGTCATTTGGTGTTAGAGGAAAACAGCTTTCTCTATAGGTGTGGCTCATATTCATGTGAATTTTACCACTCTATATATGCATCTTGTAGAATATGAAATAATTATAGTTTAATGCAATCGACATGTTCTGAAATTGATGCACGTGTTGATGAAATTAATGGCTTGATTGCTACAATCTTTTGAAATTGTCAGACATCAGAAACGATATCATTTGAGTGTCTACTGTTTATCATAGAGAATATGGGTAAATTTGCACCGAGGAGAAAATTTCAGTGTATTACATCTCTCATATTATTGAAAAGACATCCTACAGGCCTTGCTGTCACTTTATTTTTCTTGTGTTTGCTGAGAATGTATTCATGATTAGAAGTTAAATGTCTGGGAAATAGGGTATGTGTCGAAAACCTGAGTATGCTATCAACTGCTAACACACTTCAAATGCCAGAAACTTCTATCTTTAAAGTGTATCTCAATTGTTGTGCAGTTATCCAGGGTTATTGGTTTATTTCTGATACGTGTATACAATTTAATAGTTGAGATAGACAACTGCCTGCTATCTTCTCTTTCAAGTGATTATCTAAGTATATTCTATTCACTGAATCTATTCTCATTTCAGCCATTAGGAGAGTGGTGGAGAAATATGGTTCAGTATCTCTTCCTTCAGTTCCTTTCAATAATAAAAAGACAGGATATGGATCTTTCCAGTTAACAAAAACAGCATTTTTGTTTGATTTACTTGATGGGATTGATTCTGCACAAATTGTTGAGGCTGAAAATCCAACTGCAATGGAGTATTTATACCAGGTGTGCCAAAATTAGTGGCTTTGCTGCTCATTAGCTTCTGTGTTTAGCAATTCATTAAAATTCAAGATTGCTGAATAGTGTCTCTTGTTATTTTTCCTAATGTCCAGATGTTTGGATTTCTATTATATGTATCTCAATATGCATCAAAAACTGGCGGAAGTAAGCTATTTATACCAAAGGTATGCCATCTTCCTCTTTCTTTGTTTAAGCTTATTAATTCATCCTAGTTTTATGGCTATATGTCTAATTTCTCTTTCCCTCAATTCTTCAATATTGACAAATAATTCACAGAAATTTAATATCCTAAAAGAATACTACCTCTCTAAATATGATCTTTGCAGGTGCATGACAGAGCTCAAGTGTTCATATCATGCTCTCCTAAAGCTAATGGCGGACAAGTATTATACGTTGGCACAATTGAAAGATGGTCAAATCAAGCAATTGACCTTCCTAATGCTAAATGTGTTTCTAACACCAGCTTATTTATTTTGGTAACTAACTGTCCTCTTGCTTTGAGCAGATCACCTTTTGTCTTATGCATTTTGGTGGTTAGTTCTTTGTGATTGTATAATGGTAGCTTAGTGAAAATATTTTGGCTTGTGGTATCATTAAGTTTGCACTTCCTGTATTTTTCCACAAGTTTTGATAGATGGCAGGTAATCGGAGTCTAGCATCCAGGAACAATGGAAGGCATCAATTCAACAAAATTTTATTCACTGTTCAGTTACATACATAACAAATGTCCCATGTGAACTAAGCGCCTGCATGTCTAAGCAGCAATGTCTTCTCAGTTTCATTCTTATTTTCTCTCTTTTTATCTTTTATTCAAAAATAATAATTATAAACCTTTAATTTTAAACCTGAACATCATACATGTATTTCATATCTAAGTTTCTGTAACTTTACACATGCAGGTTGAAAACATGGGTCGTGTAAATTATGGGCCATACATGTTTGATAGAAAGGTAAACTTTCCTGTACAGCAGAAAATTGTGCTTTTATTTCTTAAATGATGTCAGGTCAATGGTCATGTTTATGTCTTGGCATCGGTCAAATGCTCATTCATTGTTTTTTGTGAAGGAAAATCCTCATTCAGTCATTCATTGTTATTACCTAGAAATGTGCACCTTTATCAGTAGATAGAAAAAGTCTATAGTTGTAATTGCCATTTTTGGTGGCAACCTGAAACTTATTTTCTTTGGGAATGATAGTATAGTGCCTATCAATCCATTGTTTATAACTATGGTAACATATTTAAAATGTTTATTTGATAGCGTTATGATCCTTTTTTCAGGGAAACTGCATTTTATTAAGCTTGTACCTCAATGAAAAATGTTCCTTTAGAACCACCAGTTCACCATGCAGCACCAATAATTATCATCTGTTGCTAAGTTAGGTCTAACAGATAACTTGACCATTCTTGACTTTAATTTTGTAGGGTATTTTGTCCTCTGTTTATGTAGATGGGAGAGTTCTGAAGGGATGGAAAATGATCTCGATTCCTTTCAATAACCTAAATAAGGTGCCAAAATTCAATTCTGTCATTCAGGTTTCATCTGAATTCCCTAAACTATCAGCCCACAAAAAACTAGAACACAATTCAGGTATGTCTCCAGAACATAAAAAACATGCTATATCAAATGTTGTACTATACTACTATTTCCTCCTGTGTAGTTCCTTGTTTATCTTACATGTTCTTTTATACCTCATTGTTAGCAAGTATGAACTAATGAAGACTCAAAATAAGCACTTGCTTTTCCTCTGCAGAGGATGTTTTAGAAGGACCGTCATTCTACACTGGCCATTTCTCTATTGGTAAAACTAGTGAAGTTGCCGATACATACATTTCACTTAGAGGCTGGAGAAAAGGGATTGCTTTTGTTAATGAATTCAATGTTGGAAGATATTGGCCGGTGAGCAAGTTTTTTTTTTCCCTTTGTCTTTCATACCATTCTCAATTCTATTTGTCATTTAACATTATCTTGCACATACATCTCCGATTAACACCGCAAATCAGTAAATGATTTTCTTTGCAGATTTCAGGACCACAATGCAACCTTTATATCCCTGCACCAATCCTTCGGCATGGGGAAAATGTTTTGGTAAGAGATGCCTATGTCTATATTGTTTTACTTTCTAGCGTGGAATCCAAACCCCCCCCCCCCTTCCCCCACTCCCACCTTCCTACTTTTCCCCTCTCTTGTGGAAAACGAAGTAGAGGTTTTGCGTTTTGTATCTGGTTGCTTGCATACTAAATAGTTTTGATTCCCATACACGATCCAGATATTCCAATGAAATTTTCTTCCTTAAATCGCTTTCGGTTCACCACTGTGTAGGTCATATTTGAGTTAGAATCACCGAACTCCGAGCTTGTGGTAGATTCAGTTGATCAGCCAGATTTCATGTGTGGTTCAAGAAAATCAAGTGTGCATCAACTTTAATGCCACCTAAACGACAAGTTTGATAAAAAGGGGATGGCAGAGCATTGCAGTTGACCTACAATCCAATAGGGCTGGATCGTTTGAGAATGTTTCCCTTGCAGCCTTTGTAAGATTGGCTTATAACAATCGAAGCATCGTATCATATTTGTTGTCCGGAGAGATTGTGGCTTGGGTGAAGGAATGGAGGTGCTCGAAAGATGTTGAAGAAAATAACATGGTACCAGATCGTTTATATAGGACTTCAGAGAAACAAAACAGCTGTACTTTTATGCCTAGCATTTCCAGAAAATCGGCACCAAGTCTTTTTGTTAAGGCATCAAATGGCAATTTAATTTAAATCTACAGTGTTGGTTTCTCTTATTTCAAGTGATTTTAAAATCTCTGTGATGACCAAAATTACAATTCAAACATAGCCATCTACTCCCAACAAACTCATGGGAGCAGCCAACTATGTTACATACATTACAAATGGCTATAAGCTGCTGAAAGAAAGAAAAAGGGGATGATCATTTTGAAGGTGGCTTAGATGCATCTTTTGGGTCCTGTTTTGATCCTGTCATAGCAGCAGATGCTGCCACACCCATGGCAGCCACGGCTGCACCCAGCTTTGCACCACCAGCAGCCTTCATTGCACCAGCCACTTTCGCAAAAATAGCTATCCCTCCTACAAGGAAAGCCCTAAAGGCTACTGTTGGTTTCACTGCCATATTTTTATTGAATCTGCAATTTTCCAATATCACATAAATTCAATTTTTTATTCTCATTTGAATAACTTTATAGGTCAAAAGCGTTAATAAAGTCAGTAAATCAAAACTGTAAAACCATGATCTACCCTTTTCATACATGTATTGATTAATATTGCAAAAGAATAGAACCACGTCCCATAGACAGCTATGGAGCCATCCAGTAGCTCATACTTGTTACTGAAACTTAGGTGAGTTGCCTTCACTATTGAATTTGGATCAGAGAACCTCGGTGTCCATGTAATTTTCAAAAGTATCGCTTCCACTATCATTTTTTTATTCTTTGGGTAGTCAGATTTGAACCAAAGATTTAAAAACATTCCTACTCCAAACATCAACTAAAGCCAAAGCACAACAGTAGTTAAAAATCCACGAATTATGAACTGGTAAGTGAGACTAAACATACAAAATTTGAATAGCAACGCCAACTTGAGACCAAACACTCTGAAATGATCGGCCAGACAATTGAGCTTGGTGAATGTCATAATTTATAGATACTGGCATTCATTGAAGTACAATTTTAATTTCTATTCACATCTAAAACACCTTCACTCTAGAGGATCAGGCATGTCATCTTTGTTGAAAGGTTGAACTACAAGACCACATGATCACTACTTACTGAAGCATAATATTGCGAAGACTCCATTGTCTTATATCATGAGAGACCAAAATTGTTATTCTAAGTATCGGAAACACTAGAATTTTGTCAAACTATTAGCACCTAACAGCTATTTATCCAAAGAAAACAGTGACAAAAAAATATATATGAATTGCTCCTCCTCCTCCTCCTACTTCCGATCCTAAGACTAAGCATTTCAGCATACAGGCATAACTGAAAATCAATCATCACAGACTTCCCTAGGAAGCTTTTCTCTTCGAATCCTTAATTTTAATTTAACCCTAACTTTGTTCTACAGCCCTAAAAGCATCTTCATGCCACTGATAACAACATCACCAACCACAGGCAGAAAGGCAAAACCTAGTTGCAAGCGCAAAATGGCTAACTTCTCTCTCTCTCTCTGTCTGGATTCCTAACAATTAAGAGAAAACACTTTTCAGAATGCTAATAAGACAATGTCTAGGATTTCCAACTCTCACTGGCACGTCCAAGAATTTGACAAAGAAGTAAACCAATCTAAAGCAAACATTAAAATTCACCTTCATTTATAAACTAATATTCACCCTTTTCCTCATAATTTATACATCATAATGACCATAATCCAGAAAAAAATTTAAAATTTAACCCCAAAAGCAGTTTTGGGTAAGTACCCATTTCCTCAAATCAATTATCTAATGCCCTTCTATCCCCAAACCAGGTAAAAAAATTCCTTTTTTTTCCTTCTGTTCCTTTTGGTAAACATCTAAACGGCAATGGATTTAAAAATTAAAAATCTATAAAAAAAAAAATAAAAAAAACAGAAACAGGCCCCAGATCATATAACAGATAAGAGATAGAAGAAACCGAACCTTAAAACTTGAAGAGAATATCTTTTTTGATTAAGTCCTTTTGCCAAGAATTTTTTGAGTGCAAAAGAAATGAAAGGCAAAAAAAAACAATCTTAAACCTTTTTTTTTTTTTTTCTCTTTTGCTCTTCTCTCAGTAAATACAAATGAGGTCTGCTATTTACATTTTTGTGTAAAAAAAAAAAAATCATTTTTACGACACGTTTCCCATTTTGCTTACCACGCGTGGCAGTGTGTCATTGGAGAAAATGCTTAAAAAGCGTACATTAGCAACGACCCCAATATCTATCTCTAACTGTGCGGCGGCTAAGGTAAAAGAAGCGAGGGAGCTAGCCTGGGAAGGAAAGACGATGGATCCGTACTCAGGAGGAGGAAGCTGGACAATGATCCCCAGCGTCCCAACCCACAATAACGTATCTACTCCCACCAATCAAGACCATCTATACCTCTCTCCTCCACCACCATCACAACAACAACAACAATTTCATCCTCAACAATTCCAACCACAGCAACAACAACAGCGTATGTTGCAACAACAACAGCAAGTGCAGCAGAATCAACACCATCAATCACTAGCTTCTCATTTCCACCTATTACATGTATTCCTTTAAACCACAGCCTTAACAAAGTTTTTACTTCAATTTTTCTTTCTTTTTTGAAGTGTTTGATTTCTTTTATGTGTTTTTGTCTTGTGGGGGTGGCAGTTGGTTGAGAATTTGTCTGATGCAATTGATAATGGAACTCGGGATCAACATTCTGATGCTTTGGTTTGTTTGGTTTTTTTTCTTTTTAATTTTAAAATTGGTTTTAGTGTTTAATTTGAAGATTATTTATTTTTTTTCTCTTTGGTGGGGTTTTGGGAAGATTAATGAACTGAACAATCACTTTGAGAAGTGCCAGCAGCTTTTAAACTCGATTTCGGCATCAATTAATACCAAAGCTATGGTAAATTACCAACTCTTGTTTTCTTTATTATTTAACTTTTAATTTCTGTTTTTATGTTATGATATGTTGATGAAGCTGCATGCAAGTGTTTGATGAATTTTAACGAACATGAAAGTACTTAAAAAAGATGCAAGCTTCTGCAAAATGTCTCCATTTTCGGTATTTTACCTATCATTTTTAGGATATGTATATCTTTTATTAGTGATGATAGATTCGAAAAATGTGCTAATATATTGGATGTATATCTTCTTATGACTTGGGAATTTCTGGATGTTGGATGTAGACTGTTGAAGGACAAAAGCGAAAGCTGGAGGAAAGTGAACAATTGCTTAATCAAAGGAGGTAAATTGTTGGTCCTGATTTGTGTTTTCTGCAATTTAAGTTTTCTACTTATTGAATGTGTGCATGTTTTTTTTCTTCCTGTTTTAGGGATCTGATAGCCAAGTATAGAAGCTCTGTCGAAGACCTTGTGAAGACTGAGCCATAGTTGCTTCCCAAAACACTCCATTAAGGACAGGTAGGAAAATGCATACAAAACAATTTGACTTAACTATTGTCGATAAATAGTTGCAGTTTACATTGTTTACTGTAACATGTCAATTTGAGGTAGAATTGCTCATAAGCAATCTTTGATTGAGAGAGGCAATTTTGCATGTGCTAGTTTGAAAAGTGTGTCTTGCTTTTAGTATTTTGTGTAAAATAAATACTGTATAGTCTTAATAATATATTGCTAAAGAGTTTCAGTGAGAGCAAATCAAGATTAGGGCAAGGGTAAGTCATTGTCTCGGAATAGATATAGAGAAAAACTATGTTAATGCTAGTATTTATCTTGCACAACCACAACCAAAGCAAAATGAATCTTACCATCAAACAAGTTTTTGGGTAATGAACAGCGAAACTGGACCATGGTGAGCAGTGCTTTTCTATCTGAGAGCCTAATTATTAGAGAACTTTGCTACTAGGTGTGAGTCTGTTCTTCTGGACGCTTACATTCCATTATGATGCATTGGTGAAACTGACTTTGGCCTCTTGGATATCAATTCATGGAGGTAACACTGATTATGGTTCAAATTTTGCAATGTGGTTGTCTACCATTCATCTGCGGAGCCTGTCTCCTTTAAAGTTCTATTCAAATCAAAGAGAAAAGATTTGCCTGTCTCCTTTAGAGTTCATTTGAATCAAAGAGAAAGGATTTAAATTCTTTTTCTTGATTTTGAAATTATTGGCCAAGATTTGTGACCACTTCTTGGGATCAAGCCCTATTCTATTGTCTTTGGAAACTCTAACAGATAATTTCCAAGAAAAATTGCACAGTTGTTCACCGCAGTTCTAGAGCTGTCAAGTTAGGTTTCTATATATTTGCACTTAACCTATGATAGAATTGCTCGCTTCTGCTGTTCTTATATTTAGTTGATGCTGCTTTCAAAGTGCAGAATTGTTTCATCTCTGATTCTTGTATATTGATGATTGTTTTCTTCAACAAATTTGAACTACAGCTTGTGAGTTGTGACCATCATTTTGGCTTTGCTGTATTCAGGTCAAGATCTTTCTGTATAACTCTGAAAGATCAGAAGGAAACCCAGAGAACTTGTTCCCATAGAATTTGATCAGATTCATCTCTTTGTTCAGCAAGTAGAAATTTTTAATATCTTGTCTAGGTTGTTCTTCTATCAAAGATTTCCTTTGGAATGAGATCATGTTCAAATGCAACTTTTGTTAGTGAGCAACCTTGTCAACTGATTTGACCTTCTTTACTGGATTATTTATATCATGTAGTTTTGCATTCAAGTTTATTCTCTCTCTCTCTCGGGTAATTAACATCATAATTGTTAAGATTTAACCAGGAACGTGGGCGTTGTTCCTGTATAACCTACAAAGGAGTCATCTTTTTGCTTCACCTTTTGATTCACCAATATTAAGAATTAAATGCAATACTCCAGCTAAGCACTGTTTGTCCTATCATTGAAGGGTGTCGTGGTTGATATGAGACCCATTTCTGCAAGGGACTTGTCCTGTTGGCTCTTGTTCTCAAACCTTGAATGCAAGCTTTCGGAGTTGAGTTTAATCTGAAGCCTCAAGAGTGCTTTCTGAAAAACTGCTTTTTCTTAGTTAATTAGAGTAGAAATAAGAAGAAAGTCGTCAGAAATTCACTGAAAATAAACATTCGAGAAACAACGGAAACAGAGTAATGCCAATTTTAGCAATCCATGTATCTTGAAAAAGGCAGAATAAAAGTTTAGAAACCCCAAAAAATAGGCAAGGGAATGAATCTATTTGTCTCAAAGTCGGTCTGCCAACTTTCCAAACTTCTGAAGACCCATTAAACCCTCCAAAAATATCCATCATAACAGAATTTGTTAACTCTATCTGTGACCCTTTCCCCTTCATATATCAACCTGTCTGTCATTCCTTTCATTTCTCTGCATCTCCCATTTTCCCCTGCCTTATTCCCATCCCACCAGGAGAAAACAAAGGAAGAACAAAAAAAAAAAAAACTGCACCATCCCCGGCGGCAACGCATCCGATATCTCATCATCCCCCCCAAACAAGAAGAAAAAAAAAAGGGAAACAACACCACCAAAATATGAGCATTTCAAGAAGTGGTAGTAACGGCACAACACAAGCTTGCGCTGCGTGTAAATACCAACGCAGGAAGTGCACTCCTGACTGCATTCTCGCCCCTTATTTTCCCCATGATCGCCAAAGACAATTCCAAAATGCGCATAAATTGTTTGGAGTCAGCAACATCAACAAGATCATCAAGAACCTGAATCCCCCTGAGAAAGACATTGCTATGCGTACCATTGTATTTCAATCCGATGCACGAGCCAGTGACCCTGTCGGAGGTTGTTATAGGATCATCCAAGAGCTTCAGCGTCAGATTGAGTACAGCCAGGCTGAGCTTGACCTGGTTTTTCATCAGCTAGCCATATGCCGAGCACAGGCCGTTCAGCAGCACCAACAGCAGACGTCTCACTTGCAAATGCAAGAACCTGGGTGTAATTCAACGCTGGGCTGTGAAATGGTGGATCCAGATCCATTAAACTCGTATAATTCGAATTATTATTATGCTCAAGAACCTCATGAGGAGCAATTTGCCATGAATGATAACAACCAACATCACTTGCAAGAAAATTATGATCGTTCATGGGGCATACAAGAATCAACAACAGCCTTATCATCTTTGAATATCAAGCAGGATTTTATCAAAGAATGTGATGATAATCATGATGAAGTTAAGCCCGAGCTTGGGATACCTTATGAAAGACATGAGATCAAGTTTGAGACCGAAGAACTAGTTGAAAGGACGTTTGTTCCATCGACACAGTTAGTTATGTCATCTTAGTCATAAATTTTGTACATCTCTTATCAGTTATGAGATGATGATATATATAATATCAAGAAAAAAAATAAATGCATATTAACATGCAGAATAAAGTTTTGATATATAATATATTATGTGGTGTCCATTTTACTTCTGGTCTGTTCAAGGATCATTTGAAATATTGCTTTTCCAAGGCTCACTCTCCATTTTCTTTCTCTACTTCTCTTTTTGAATTATTCAAGTCATGCACCTTCAATTCTGTCGTCAAATTGTTATTCATTACCCGAATATATCTAGTTTCTCTTCCTCTCCCTCTCTCTTCAGTTTCTCTACATAGCCAATTATATCTCTTTCCTCCTCCAGGGATACCCTTTCCAATTAAAAGAAAAAAAACATCTGAAACAAGTTTTTTTTTTTTTTTTTAATTTAGCAGCCAAGGATTCGTGAACCTTGCCCAATACATTCTTTCTCCGGGCTGACCCTAAATCCTGAACAAAGAGTTCCTGATACATAGTTCCTAAAAAAACACCAAAAAATGCCCCGGACTACCAAAAAAGGTACTCGTATTAATCCATTGGACTTGCAAAATTTCCCTTCACCACATCTAAGCAAAGAAAAATCAGATAGAGCAAATTCTTGTTGAGACAATAGATACAATTGAAGACCGAAGAAATCATAAGATAAAAGAAGCGTATATTTTAGTATAGACATGAGCATTAAATCCAGTATAGTTGCAATTTCATTACTTTAATTTTCTTTTCTGGTGGCAGCTGGAAATTAAGCCTAGCTATTGAAATTTTTGCAGTCTCATAGTTTAACAAGCTACCTCCTTTTCCTTGTCCTTTTTGGACTGTGATCGATCATGCATGCAAACTCTTCTTGAACCAAGTCCATTTTCCTTTTTTTTTTCCCTTTCTAGGGACTGATCATGTATTTATATAGAACATTCAATGAAATTTTGTGTATATATGTATGTATGTACATACACACACACACACACACACTATAGATCCAAAAGGAAAAATAATAAAGAAAAAGAATAAGACTTGCAACAATAGTCCTCGACTAATTTTCCTTTTAACTTCAAAATCCTAGATCATTGGTTTTACAATGACATCGAGAAACATGATCCTATCATCTTTTCTTTATAATTGGTTGCCATCATCATGTATTTCTCTTAGGAGTCCATCAAATTTGAACCTTGGCTCTCAATTTAAGTTCTGTGCTATTTTAAACAGAATGACAAATATAGTTAAGTAAACATAAAGGGCCACTCTAACTAGTAGTCGTTGTCTATATCTGGCATGCGATTTGGTGGTTTTTTCTCATCTGGATTTTCCAAGACAGATGCCTCAGTTGTTGTCAATAGCAATGAGACGCTGCAATCAATAAACATATGGTTCAGTTTCACATACAAATTTTTGAGTATAAGCACATATTTAGGACTACAGACTCTTCACCTGGCTGCATTGACTAAGGCTGTTCTAACAACTTTAAGAGGGTCTATGATTCCAGCCTTCACCATATCAACATATATACCTGTTTTAGTGCATCAAACATGATACTGATCAGGACAGACCAGATGTGAATTCTCATTGTAATAGCAAAGACTGGCAGCAGGGCATTTTGAGAAAAATAATGATAGTGTGAGATGAGCATGTCTATGGACACGGGGAGAGAGAGAGAGGACTTGCAACATAACTTGATCCATTTAAGAATGAGATCATTTTTAAAGGAGTGACATAGCCAGCTTGATATGAGCAATTTCATAAGATCTAAACAACAAACCTTTTGAAGCATCAAAACCCAAATTATTATCATCTTGTTCCAGTAGTTTTCCGAGAACCAGAGAGCCATCATGACCAGCATTTGAAGCTATAATTAAAGTAGGTGCCTAAAGTAAAGCAATATATACTGTGAGGTACTAGGAATTATAATGAGATCAAGAGAGGCATGCTGAGAGTTGCCATAAACAAAACCTTAAGAGCATCTTGAATTATCTGAATGCCTCTTTTCTGATCTTCATTTTGAGTTTGAAGGTTCTGCAAAACCCTTGTACCATACAAGAGAGCAACCCCACCACCTAACATAAAATTCCATTATGTTATTGCCAAAAGAAACATTTAACATTTGAAAACCACAAAGGAAAATTTCTTTACCTGGCACAATACCCTCTTCCACAGCTGCTCTGGTAGCATTCAACGCATCTGTGACCCTATCTTTCCTTTCTCCAACTTCTGCCTCACTAGCTCCACCAACCTGAGAGAAAATAAGTAATCACCTATGAGGGCCTAAGAGGCACATGCCACTTGGTACTTAGACAGATGAATTACATACCCTGAAAACAGCTACACCCCCAGACAGTTTTGATAATCGTTCTTTTGCTTTCTCTCTGTCAAACATGGCTGTGCTCTTCTCCATGGCCATTCTCAGCTGTAGAAGTTTTCGAGAATCAGTATAAGGAAAAAAAGAAATTTTCTTTTCCAAGTTTTCCCCGAGAATTTTTAATAGACTGCCTACTCAATAACATGGTCTCTCCTTCAATTTTACTACATTGAAATTCTTTTAAAATAAGAACATAAACTAACAGCTGTTAAACTAAAAGATAACAGAACTGCTCCCAGTTCAAAATGGCTTTGCCATTTCAGAATTAGCAACATGGTATTTCTTCAGCCATCTCAGAACATAATTAGGAGATATTCCAGGAAAATTTTAATTTTCTTAATCCAAAGTGATACAGCACATGCCCGGTTAAGAGAAAATAAGTTCTCATAATACTAGTTCAGACTGCAACTTCCTCAAGGAGAAAGAAAGCAGAACAACCTTTTCTACAAAATTAACAACATTAAAAGTAGATCACAAAAGAATCAAATGGGTAAAAAAAATTTCCATCCATTTTTATCACCCCCCACCTCCACCTTCAACCCCAAACCCAAATCTTAATTTATAAATAGAACAATATATTAATGGGTTGAAGAAAGAAAAAAAATATATCAGAAAGGGCATCAGAATACCTGCTCACATCTTTCTTCAATCAGCTTCTTATCCCCTCCCCCATGTAGAATGATTGTGTCATCAAGAGAGATAGTGACCTGTGATAAATTAGGTCAATTGCATTGTAAAGAAGAAAATCAAGCATGTTGCAAAGATACATGCATACCCTTTTTGCAGTACCAAGCATTTCAACTTTGACTTTGTCAAGAGTTAAGCCACGTTCTTCACTGATAACCTGTACTTTTGATAGTTAAAAATGACTCTATAAGATTGTAAAGGACATAAAATCTAAGCAATGAGAATGTTATTACCTCTCCACCAGTGAGAATGGCAAGGTCTTCTAAATTTGCTCGTCTGTTATCCCCAAAACCAGGAGCTTTAATGGCACACACCTAAAGACACAAGATTCCACTATTTAAAAATGGTGCAAAAGGTGTCATCTAAACTAAAACATCTTGTACCATTGGATGCATGGAAAAGTCAATTTAAAGCAAAGCCAGACAATTACCTTTAAACCAGCATGATGCTTGTTGAGAATAAGTAAAGCAAGAGCATCACTCTCCACATCCTCAGCCACAACAAGGAGTGGTCTGCTTTTCTGCTGAAATTGAAGAAAAAGAATTAGCAAGTTCACCGCATGCTTCACTTAAAATCATATATGTAAAAGAGTCCTTAGAAGAATTACATTTATAGCCAGCTCCATTATCCTCACAAGTGAGTTCATATCTGAAATTTTCTTGTCATGAATGAGAATCAGGGGATTCTCAAGTTCCTGCCAACATAAAAATGAAGCCTCTTTATATCAAAATTTTTTTTTCTTAGGCTTAATAAATTATTGCATCAACAGAAGTTTTATTGTTTATGCTATTTCTAACAAGGAAAGAAATGAAAAATTAGGGACATAAGACAGGTCAATTTCTATGTTTCCATAGGTGAATGGTCTCCAAACTGTGGTATACAAAACCATCAACTGACCACAAGAACCTCTGAGATAATAATAGGATCTTCAAATCACATTAAGCAAAATAAGAGAAATGATTTCTGATTTACTGCACAGCCACTCCTCCAAACTAACAACATTTAAAAAAGAGAAGCAAAAGATAAATTGTGATAGAATTTTTAGCATAGGATTTACATTGGAAACCCCATTTTGGTTCAATGAGTTAGTTACTCTTCTATTTGAAGTAAAAATTATTGGAAAAAGGATACAAATCTGAACTTACACATTTCTGGGTCTTCTGATCAGTAATAAAATAGGGAGAGATATAACCTCTGCCTAGCTTCATTCCTTCCACCACTTCTAACTCATGATCTAAAGTATTCCCATCCTAAAATTTGAGCAAAACATAAGATACACCAGATTACATGTGGTTTAGGAAATGATCATTATTATGCAAATTTTATAATCATAAAATAATGTATAAAAATGGAATATAGGCTTACAGTGACACTAATGACCCCTTCCTTCCCAACCTTCTCCATTGCTCTTGCTATCAATTCTCCAATTTCACGTTCACCATTGGCAGAAATAGTGGCAACCTATTTAAAACATGCCCAAAACAATTTAACACAAATAAATCAAGGAGTATGGTATGTAAAGGGTTACAAAGCCCATGTCAACAAACCTGTGTAATTTCTTCTGGTGTGCTTATCATTATTGCCCTGCTTTTCAAGTCAGATATGACAGCATTAACTGCCATATTAATTCCACTTCTCAAGTCCATTACATTTACACCAGCAGCCAATGACTTACATCCCTCCAAAAGAATTGCCTGAGTTAGGACAGTTGCACAAGTTGTACCTGTGAACAGATACACAATAGTTGATTGATCTCCAACATGAAGAATGCGTAATATGATGGGAGAAATATCAAAGAAATGGTGTTTCTATGGTAAGAAACTAAAGGTTTATTCACGTATCATATGACATATACAACTGAATCCAATCAATGTTTTGAACATGAATGGTATAGAGAGTGCTAATCTTTATTCTATGCACAGATGCCCTGCATACCTAGGATTCTAAAATGATGTTGAATACCAAAAAGCACCTATTCCCAAGACACTTATGAAATGATTCCCAGGAAGGTTTTCTAACAGAAAGGTCTTATCCAAGGGCTCCCCAATCCAGATTAGGTTGGAATGAAAGCTTGATTGAGTTGTCTTAAATACCAAAGAACATCATTGTTTCACAGACAAATGAGTAACTTTTGGGGTACAAGTCCAAATAAACAACTTTCTAACAAGAAAGCCTGATCTTAAACATTGGTATATCAATATATTGATGTTCAATTACAGCATCTTTATGGCACAAGGTTGAAAATAATAAGAATTTACCATCTCCAGCAACTTTATTGGTGGCATTCGCAACCTGCTTTACAAGATCTGCACCAACATTTTTAGCCTTATCCTTGAATTTGATGCTTTTGGCAACAGTAACACCATCCTTTGTGACTTTAGGATAGCCTCGACTACTCTCAATAACAACATTGCGACCCTTAATCAATAGATCAGAATGAATACTATGACAATGCGTAATAGGATGCATAAATTTTGAGCTTTTAATCTTTACATAGTAAGAAATCACAAGCATATAACAATATTATAATAGTTCTAAGTTTTAACCTATAAAATGGACAGCTAATTGTTAATAAAAGATTCCCAAATATATCATCATCCTTCAAATCTTTCATATAACAAATAAAATAGAGAAAAGATATGACCCCTACAACATCAAATCCAACTTATAGAGGCTACAAGATTATGTTCCACTTTCTCTTAGCAATTAGATAAAAATATCAACATACAATTCATTTACCATCGTGGACAATTTTATCTAAACAGCTCAATCTACATATGAACTAATGTTAAGCTGCCATAAAAATACAGCTTGTAGTGAATATGCTAATAAAGTAAATATTTTAAATAAGCATTAAATCTCCCAAAACAAAAATCAACGAAATATTTTTTTCCC